TACAACCACACACACACACACACACACACACACACACACACACACACACACACACACACACACACACACACACACACACACACACACACACACACACACACACACACACACACACACACACACACACACACACACACACACACACACACACACACACACACACACACACACACACACACACACACACACACACACACACACACACACACACACACACACACACACACACACACACACACACACACACACACACACACACACACACACACACACAGACACACACCCACGCACGCACATACACCTCCCAAGTCTGTAATTGTGATGTGTCGATAGAAAACCTTATATGTTATATAACCAATCATATGTTTTTTATTGGAACAATCATAAAGCCCAGACAGAAAGCCTATATAATTCATTGATCCAGTTGAAATTTAAACCACCCTTAAGTATTTCTTAATTGTTAGGTCAGGATAGCAAATTTATTAATAACTTTCTTATTGGCTTTATTAAGCAAACAAAAAAAGCTTGTGGCTAACAGATTTAATTCTACACCAACTCTCCCCTTCCCCTTCCCCTTCCCCTTCCCATTCCCCTTCCCTTCCCCTTCCCCTTCCCCTTCCCCTTCCCCTTCCCCTTCCCCTTCCCCTTCCCCTTCCCCTTCCCCTTCCCCTTCCCCTTCCCCTTCCCCTTCCCCTTCCCCTTCCCCTTCCCCTTCCCCTTCCCCTTCCCCTTCCCCTTCCCCTTCCCCTTCCCTTCCCCTTCCCCTTCCCCTTCCCCTTCCCCTTCCCCTTCCCCTTCCCCTTCCCCTTCCCCTTCCCCTTCCCCTTCCCCTTCCCCTTCCCCTTCCCCTTCCCCTTCCCCTTCCCCTTCCCCTTCCCCTTCCCCTTCCCTTCCCCTTCCCCTTCCCCTTCCCCTTCCCCTTCCCCTTCCCCTTCCCCTTCCCCTTCCCCTTCCCCTTCCCCTTCCCCTTCCCCTTCCCCTTCCCCTTCCCCTTCCCTTCCCCTTCCCCTTCCCCTTCCCCTTCCCCTTCCCCTTCCCCTTCCCCTTCCCTTCCCCTTCCCCTTCCCCTTCCCCTTCCCCTTCCCCTTCCCCTTCCCCTTCCCCTTCCCCTTCCCTTCCCCTTCCCCTTCCCCTTCCCCTTCCCCTTCCCCTTCCCCTTCCCCTTCCCCTTCCCCTTCCCCTTCCCCTTCCCCTTCCCCTTCCCCTTCCCCTTCCCTTCCCCTTCCCCTTCCCCTTCCCCTTCCCCTTCCCCTTCCCCTTCCCCTTCCCCTTCCCCTTCCCCTTCCCCTTCCCCTTCCCCTTCCCCTTCCCCTTCCCCTTCCCCTTCCCCTTCCCCTTCCCCTTCCCCTTCCCCTTCCCCTTCCCCTTCCCCTTCCCCTTCCCCTTCCCCTTCCCCTTCCCCTTCCCCTTCCCCTTCCCCTTCCCCTTCCCCTTCCCCTTCCCCTTCCCCCTTCCCCTTCCCCTTCCCCTTCCCCTTCCCCTTCCCCTTCCCCTTCCCCTTCCCCTTCCCCTTCCCCTTCCCCTTCCCCTTCCCCTTCCCCTTCCCCTTCCCCTTACCCTTACCCTTCCCCTTCCCCTTACCCTTCCCCTTCCCCTTCCCCTTCCCCTTCCCCTTCCCCTTCCCCTTCCCCTTCCCCTTCCCCTTCCCCTTCCCCTTCCCCTTCCCCTTCCCCTTCCCCTTCCCCTTCCCCTTCCCCTTCCCCTTCCCCTTCCCCTTCCCCTTCCCCTTCCCCTTCCCCTTCCCCTTCCCCTTCCCCTTCCCCTTCCCCTTCCCCTTCCCCTTCCCCTTCCCCTTCCCCTTTTCCTTCCCCTTCCCCTTCCCCTTCCCCTTCCCCTTCCCCTTTTCCTTCCCCTTCCCCTTGCTCATTTTACTGGCTTTTAATTAATCTACCGCTCTAGTACTGTATCCACTGCTACTGTTATGTAGGATTATATAAATATCGGACTAACTTATTTTATGTTCATGTTTTCCTGCCACAATTGTGTTTATTACCAACCGAAAAGTTTAATTTTATTGTCATAACCTCTCGGTTGTCTAAAAAACCGCTCAAAGAATTAGTTCTCCTTTTAATTGACAGTTTGGATTTATTTCAGAGACGTGCGTATTTATCAAGCAAATAACTCGTATTTGTCTTTGTCGGTCTACTTTAGAAACAGTTATTCTGGATCTTTCTCATAATGAATTAATATATTTTTTCAGGTACGACAATCCAAGAACAATAGCAGGACAAGGAACAATAGGTTTGGAAATAATGGAACAAGTGCAAGATATAGATGCTGTAGTCGTTCCAACAGGAGGTGGTGGTCTGTTAGCTGGAGTGGCAGTAGCAGTAAAAACATTAAATCCTAGTATAAAAATTATAGTATGTCATTTAGGTTCCCATAATTTTTTTATAAATATTTTGGAAAATATTTTAATAATCGTTCGTATTCCATTTCTGATCAGTTTAGAGTACACCAAAATATTTATTTATAACTACTCATTACTCATCCAAAGAAAAAGTTACATTCATCTGTAATAATAACACTACATACATTTTAAAACCCAGAGTAAATAAACATGCCGAAGCAATCAGAGATCTTCATTAAACAGTTGAGTCTTACGACCACTCATATTTTAAATTCCGGTAATATTTAATTTTTCTATTGATACCTGTAGGGAGTTGAATCAGAAAGATGTGCTAGTTATTCCAAAGCAATGGAGACTGCAGGGCCTACTCATACAGATATCGAAGCTACACTAGCAGATGGTCTTGCCGTGCCCCAAGTTGGTTTTAATGCTTGGAGGACCTCTAAAAATTTAATAGACAAAATGGTAAGAAAACTTAATGAAAGAAAAAAATAATTTTAACTATGTCAAGATAATGTTATAGTTGGAGGGGGGGGGGGGGCAATTTTGACTCATCCTTATTAAATAATATTCTAATATCCAAACTATATCATTCATAGATAATATATTACGCAGATTGATACTACGTCAGCGTGACGTATTGTGATGCGAATTTGAGGTATCAGCTAATCGAAAACAGCACCCGAAAATAAATTTGAATCTGCTTATTGCCATATTCCGCTTCACACTACGTTATGCGCGAACTCTTCGAGTTTTCCTCGGCTAAGTATCATACTTCTGAATTTTTTTGAATCGGTCAAAAACATAGATCCAACTAGTATGTCGCCAATAACATAATTCACTTTTGCCACTAACAATTAACTGGTTGTGGTTATTATGAGCATACGCATTGAGTCGTTTTCAGACGCTGTTACATCGATCGGTAAACATTAAAAATCTGATGTGTCCAACACATGACTTTCTATACATATTCATTGAAAACGAAAATACTGAAAAATTTAAATTTAGCACTTTTCCATTACGGTCCATTTTAGAAAAATCATGTATAAACAAAAATTATAGAGATCGATATCGCAAACAACTTTTAGTTCAACAATTTTCATAAAAATCAGAATTTTGCACATTTTGTTAAATTTCTCGGATACGGACCATTTCAGGAAATTTTAACATAAAACAAAAATTATAGATAATAATATTAGAAGTAATTTTTATTTGAACAATTTTCTTCTCCAAACATAAATAACAGATATATTCCATAAAATATAAAAACGGCCTCCCATAAAGTACCCCCCTAGATGTTCCGACTTTGTCCAAAATCTAATCATTTCACTTCAGGCCGAAATAAACCTTAAGTTTAAAATTTAATGTTTTTTTCTTTATCCGTTTTTGAGTTTTCTTCAAAATTCTAAATTTACACATTTTCTCAAATATCTCGAATACGGTCCATTTTAGAGAAATTATGTATAGAATAAAAATTTAGAGAATTATATTACAAACAACTTTTATTTAAACAATTTTTATAAAAATTTTTTTTTTTACATTTTGTCAAATTTTTCGAATACGGACCATTTTAGGAAAATTTTGTATAGTATAAAAATGGCCAGGTTTATTTTCAATCTTTGATAAACGATTATTAATAGAAAGTAGACCATTATTGAGGTCAATTAATGCCTGATTTTGTCAATGTTAATTTCATGGAATATTACACGGTCAATGGAAGTTGGTTTTACCTAAAATGTTTACATATATTATTCTAATTATAATTTTAAAGTTTATTATTGACTATATGAAAAATCAATAATCTACGGCAGCGTTGAAGAGCCACATTTTTTATTTTTTTATATTTTTAAAATACGGATGCTCTGAAAATCCTCATAAATTTGTCCCAAATTTTATCTTAAATTAACTTTTAAGGTGCTCTTCAGTGGCGGTTTGCCCGTAAGGGCACTTGGGCACGTGCCCTAGTATAATAAACAAAAAAAAAATAACTTACATATTTTATATTTTCCTCAATGCCTATTATTATTTTATCTAATATTCAGCGCAAACCGCGTTGGCACGACACTGGACGACTGGGCGTTGAGCGACATTCCGAGAATTCCGAAAGAAGATGGGCACAGGGCACAGTAAATGTGTGCCTCTGTTGTTTTCTCTCTCATTATGATGCGAAAGCAAGAGATGAATACATGCGATGGATTATACGTCACAAGCAGGGCGCTGTCCTCAGCGTGACGTACAGATTACCTAGACCAGATAAGAATGTACGTAGAGGCATCCTTACCGGCCCCCTCACAAAGGCGAAGCCGGTTTCGGCTTAATGTGCGCGTTTGGACCATGATAATAATTTATTTATTGTGATTACGAAAAAACGTTAGTTGGACCATTGGAATAGTTAAGAAATAAAACTACATAGAAAAATAACTTTTTTTTTATAAAGCAGTCAAAAATATGATGAAAAAAAATCAATAATATTTATAAATGGGACAAAATTTTTATTTTTCTTTTGGTTTTGTCTGACTTTTTCAAGGATTTCAAATCTCTGTTTACATATTTAGGAGTACCGTAGAACGGGGTTAATTGGGACAAATTTGAAACATTTTTTGTTGGTACTTCAAACTTGTACTTATTATCCACCTTGTTTATATATATTTGGAAAGGTAGTAGGTGTATCTGTCTTACATAAAACAATAAGCCTCCCCCATTATGGAGGGGGACTAAAAAAATTTTTTTTATAGCTGTCCCAAATTACCCCGTAGGGTGGGGCTATTTGGGATTAATAGCAAATTACGTTAGAACTCAAATAATATCGATTGTAGGGGCTTTTTGGGACACCTAAAATAAATTTTAAAAAAAGTAAACATTTATTCTGAAGTTATAACCAAAAGTTTGCAAATAATATCCTAAGTTACAAAAAATAAAAAAAAAATAAATTCTTTGGCAAAAATAACACAAAATTAGGTTTGTTTTGACACTCTAAAAATTAAAAGGCATGAGATCAATATTGAAGCTGTAAAATTTCCTTCTTCCTGTTCCCGTTAATATTGGTGGTGTTAAGATCTTCACGACCATATCTCCACTTATATGATCAGTGTCCTGTACAAGAGGAGTAATAAACCTTCCACTGGACTTGTCCGATTTTTTTTAAAATTCCACATGTAGTGTCGAGTCAAGAACTTGCTTAACTTGGCCGATAAAGTGCTTTGTACTTTTCTTTACTTCATACTCGACCACTATCCAACTGCCTTCTTTTACTTCAGCTGAAATACTTGCTCCCTCATCGCTGAATATTTCAGCATTTTTGGAATGTTGTAAGGATTTTTTTATGTTTATTAGTGGCAAATCATCACTATTATCGGAAAAATTTTCAGATTCGTCATTTTCTTGCCCATGTTCTTCATCGCTTTCGGAACTATTATGCCCTTTTTCAGCACGGTCTAGTCGTTTAGGTTGACATATCGGCTGTTTCGATATACTGCCAGATGTAGATGGCATGGATAAATCATTTGCCGACACACTTTTTCTAGGCTCCACATTAAGCCTCTTACGTCGAGCAACTTTCTTTGTTTGGTCCCCAGATCTCATATCTTTTAAAATATTTATTATCACATCAGAGACTACATTAGCAACATTTACCGGTTCCTGTAATCTAGGTAGTCTTTCTTTCGGTCTTGATGGGTCTACAGGATATAGCCCAGTTTTGGAAAATCCTGACACCAAATTGGACTAGCCTTTCCCCCTTCCTCAAGTTTTTCTTGCAACTTTGATAAAAGGCTGGGGAATGCATCTTTTGTTAATGACGGAAATTTACGACCAGCTGTCTTCTTCCAATTGCTTAGAATGTCTCGCCAATATTTTTTTAGTGGCGCGTAGAACGCAACGTCTAGCGGTTGCATAACGTGTGTTGCATTAGGTGGCAGACATATGAATGCAATATTTAATTCCTCGCACTTCTGGAGAACTTTCTCTGAAAAGTGTGAGGAGAGGTTATCTCCTATAAGGACCTAAAAAAAAATTAAAATAAGTGGACCTAAAAGTTTGGAAAAACTAGAGCCTACGTACCTTTTGACCATCTTTGTTCCAAAAAAATGGTACCACTACAGTGAAAAACCAATCCTCAAAGCATATACTGTCGAACCAGCCACTCTTGGAACGATTATACCTTGTACCTGGAGGACCACCGACGATCCAGGAATCCCATAAATGATCAGCCTTGTAAACAACATATATTGGAAGAAGCTGTCCATCGGCTGTTCCCGCATACATCAGACTAATTGCGGTTTTGGTGGCATTAATTATCCTCTCTGAGTATCTGGTGCCCCTCTTATAAATGAATTTTTTAGACCCTGGGTCGTCTGTGAGATTTGTCTCGTCGAAATTAATAATAAGAGAAGGATCCGTCTCAGACAACATTTGGGAGGCATTTTCAAAAAATCGATCTAACACATCTTCTGAAAGAGCGGCCCGTTTGGTTGATATATTAGCCGAAAGGCGATTTGATATTTCATTTTTATGTCGTTTGATAAAATTGACAGCCCAGTCTTTTCCCGGCATGTTTTCGTTTAATCTTCTGTCCCGAACTCCTTTCTTATCGAGGTATTGTTTCACCATCATTCTCAAGTCTCTCAAGTCAAATGGATAGCCCCATGAAGCAACCGTGTTCAGGTTTTGAACAAAAACATTTTCTTCATCATCGTTGAACAGGCTCGGTCTACCCGGACGCTTTTGCTGCATATTTTGACCAAGAAGTTTCCTTCCTAGCGTGGATTTAGGAATACCATACTTTTCGGCTGCGGCTCTTATATTTCGTTTTTGTTTTTTTTTTATATCATCTAGGGCTTTCGCTAAATTAATCTCCGAATAGGAGAAGTATGGGTTAAAATTTTTTCCTTTTCGGCAATTGCTCATTTTGCTTCGATAGTTTCGCACCATTTTTACAGCCTAGAGGCAAAAAAATCACTGTTACCGGTCATATATTTCATGTTTTTTTGCTGTCCCAAATAACCCCATTGTTATGTCCCAAATTACCCCACCAAAAAAAATAGCCTATTAAAAATCTAACATGTAATATATCTTTACAATATTTATGTTGGTTCATCTACAGTCACCTAACAATTAGTTACAACTATCAAACTTACCTTATCACTAGCAATCCAATTCCGAGAACAGAAAGTTGGACACTATCGTTTTTTACGTCGATTTTCACAATTTCTTGCAAGTCTTGCTGGTATAAAAATTGAATGGTGTACATTTTCGCAAATTTTTGGCAAGGTATTCGTTGGAAATTCCAGGTTTAGTTGACAAACTATCAAATAGAGATATAAATATTTTTTCTAATTTGAAAATATAAAAGAGAAATTTTTCTCTGTGAGATTTTAAATTGCCAAACACCTTTTCTTCAGAGTCGTATGCTTTAAAATGCGTTAACAAGTTAGAATTGTTAAGTAAATTGCATTCTTCTGAGATAT